TCGTTTAAGAATAACCCTACCTCTTTTCGACCTACTACAAAAACAGGTCTCTAAAACCTACTTTTTTCTTGTAGTAGCTAGGATTAAATTCTTATAGTAGCTAGGATTAAATTTTTATAGTAGCCCTACTGCAAGGCAAAACGATGTCTGGAATTATAGGTAGGAGCCTTTACATTTCTATCTCCACTAAGTCTCTCAGATTGAGACATGGGACGTCATTCACGAAGTCTTTACTATCTAGCCTTCGAGAGGGATATGCTGATGTTAGTCTTCGGTCCTGCAACCTGGTATTGTCTCGCTTCACTTCTCGATCTCTTTCTTGCGCGGCATCAAAGGCAGGTTTTGCAATAGAGCGGTTACATTTCACCAAATTCTCCGCCATGCTACTTATGATCTCCTCGGAAAGTTTAAAATCACTGTTAGTTAATACGTCGTTTAAAACACCTGGGACCGAAGAATTAGGTATACGGCTGGTATCCTCTGCCTCGCTGGGTGCCATGAAAACGTGTTCCAACCATTGAGCTGAATGGTCAAGAATGGGGCGTCGAATGTAGGGGGTAGTTCGAAATCCGGTTAATATATCGCGCCTGTTGTGATTAGTCTCCGAAGGCGGATAGCTTGTTGGATTCGTAGACAAAGTTCTAGGCTCAGAAGATCCGACGCTAGAGCCAAACTCAGAAACCGCTGCACTTACTATAGCTGGGTTAGCATCGAGAGTGTTCGAATCTTCTGAGATGATAGTATTTATATTAGTACTTAACGGAGAGTGAGGGGTAATCAAAGCTTCGGGGGTCATGGAGCACGTAGTAGGTGCAGCCTTAACTTCACGAACAGGCTTTGCCGTGCATGTTGGCACTCCTTCAAGACATTCTGCATCGTTCGCAGGTCCCAAATGGTCAATCGGCTGTTCAAAGTATTCCTCCAGGATGGCAATTCCATCGCTGTGATTAACTGGAAACCGGTCCGCCTGCGGTGATGAATTTGTTACTCCAATATCTCCATCCCCAATTCGAGTATGTTGGTTAGACCTCGGTAGATCGGCCACGCCATGCGACAATGAACCTACAGCGGTACCCGTGCATTCGGGGAGGGATTCATCGATGATCGGCTCGCTCGGCGCAATTTCACTTGTAGCAGATACGTCTGTAGGAATGTCGCTGAGGGTTTCATTTGTGCATTCGTCAGTGGCACACTCTTTAGATTTCCCATTCGCCAGTGATGTGTCAAGTTTTAATCCATCTAGAGGCTTCGGCTTCTTTGCAAGTCTGCCAATTCTGTTATTTGTGCCCACCATCTCCACATAGGTTCTCTTTGTCGTGGGAAGTCGACTAGATCTGCGAAGGTGTTTGAATTCAACACAAATAGGTCGAGGAGAAGAGTCTCCCTGAATTGTATCGGCGCGATAGTTCTAAACTTCGGTAACTTTAATATATAGACTGTGGTTCGAACTTACTCGTCTGTCCCACCAATTTATTCAACTCTCGTAAAGTCTTACCTTTGACGTTAAGCACAATTCGTAGAATTTCATGAACATACGGTCGAATCTCTTCAGCAATATCATCAGCCATTATAAGTTTGTTCCAGTATGGATCGCGTACATGGAAGAGAGAGTGAGGAGTACAAGGCGTCAACCAACGCTTTGGGCTTTGGCAATCTGGCCCTCGCCTATGTTACTTAAAATAGACAGTGTTAGCTAGCAGCGTCGATTGTATAACTCAGCTATACATTCAATTTCCTTGGAGCAGTGCCGTAGACACGCACTTGCGCTATAGGTAGAGTAAAATGCAGTATGTTAAAGCAGTAAGGATTGAAAATGCCTGAATCACTGGTAGAGAACATTTTGAGGCGAATTGATTCAGCAAGAAGAGAACAAAAACCAACAGTCACGTGATGATTATTCCAGCCCCATCAGCTGGGCGGCTACGCAGCCTCGTTGCTTTCCACGCTTCTATACTCATCACCACCACAATCGACCATCTGTTTAACAATACCAGATCGATCTATCGCTAGATCACATGAAACAGCTTTTTGTAGCCGGCCAGGCGTGCAATCCGAACGTGTAACGACATCTCGCCCTATATACCACCATGGCCACCCGAGCACCCCACCCGCCGGTCTGTCTACTGTCACTTGGTTCGTGATACCATAACATGATATTGTGCGCCGTATTAACTTGCTTCTAGATGGCGGGGGCATCAAAGGAATATCCGAGCTTCTTATCTTGCAGCATATCATGGTCGCCGTGCAAGGCCAGCTCGAACTTGCTGAAGAGCCTCTCCCATGTGATTACTTTGACCTGATTGGTGGGACTAGCACCGGAGGGTGAGTGCAAGAAACATATTTAAATTTACATTCAGGGAACAAATGCATATATTCACGCGTATTCTTGGTAGTCTCATTACTATTATGCTTGTCCGACTCCGAATGACGGCGTCGGAGGCACTCCGACAATACTTTGCCCTTACAGGCAAGATCTTCTCCAAGAAGAATACGAAGAGTAAAGGGAAAGAGGGTGCCTTCAAGGCATCGACTCTTGAGGCATCTGTAAGAGGAATCGTGGTCGATCATGAAAGAAAGCACGGTGGTGGTGCAAGTATGCTCCCATTGGGAGATAACGAGACTCGAGCGAAAGGGTTAGTTGAGAATACATTCCAGTCTTCTATTCGCTTCTTGTTCCCTAAGGCTAACGCATGCCAAGTTTCGTATGCGCAATGGCGGCCGAGATGATGAAGAAACCATATCATCTAAGGACTTATATAGTCCCAGGGAAAATCGTGTATAACTGTGAGATATGGGAAGCTGCAAGAGCGACAACGGCAGCACCAACATATTTCAAAGCTGTCTCGATCAAGTGGCCCAACGGCTCGAGCAATCGGTTTGTCGATGCCGGCTTAGGCTTCAACAACCCTACCGAGGAAATCATCGAAGAAGCAGAAACCATCTTTGGAACGTCCACTCCACTAAGACTCCTGATTAGTGTTGGATGTGGTGTGAAGTCTTCTATTCGATACGATGCGCCCTCCATGCTCGACAAGTTTCTTCCACTCAACGCTATCAAGACTCTTAAGGACATTGCCGCCGATTGCGAGAAGACTTCCGACCAATTGGAACGTTCCTTTAAGAATCACACCAACGTCTACTTCCGATTCAACATCCCCGAGATTGGAGATATTGGGCTATCAGAAGTTGATGCGGCGACGCTTAACCGAATCACTGCTAGCACGAAGGCTTATTTCGACAACGGGTCGGCTGGACACACCATGCTAGGGCTAGTGGTCAAGCGTCTCTGCGAAGGTGTCGAGGGAACGGTGCCAACGCATGGTATTACTTTGGGAAAGATCCGTACGTTGCAATAGATTCTTGGTAGACTTCAATCGATGTCATTATAATATAAAGCTGACCCATATGGTAAAGTTACGCTTGGGGTGCCGTCAACAAGAGGTAATATCCAGCTAGCTTTTAGACCTATCAGCTGTTATATGACGTTACTAAATGATTTATTTAGGCCACCAGCTAATCCCTTTTCCGCGTAACACAAACTTCGTTGGTCGCGAGTCCTACCTAAAGCAGCTTGCAACAAAGCTCGACCCTAGGATATGGGCTGGCACGTGCCCATGGGTAGCTCTCGACGGCCTTGGTGGGGTTGGCAAGACTCAGATCACCCTACAGTTCGCCTACCAACTCCAGGAGACATCACCAGAGTGTTCTGTTTTCTGGGTTCAGGCCAGTGATGCGACAAGTTTTGACGCTTCATATCGCAAAATCGCCCAACAGCTCGGAATCCCAGGACTTGAAGATGAGAAGACAGATGTGAAGCAGCTAGTCTTTACAGCACTCCAAGGCCTCATGAGTCCATGGTTGCTTATTGTGGACAACGCCGATGACTACGAGGTCCTTGATAACGCGAATGAGGGAAATGCATCACGTGTATTAATCGAATACCTTCCGAAGCGTGGCAATGGAGCAGTCCTCTTTAGCACTCGAGATCAAAAGGCAGCTTCGGATCTTGCTGAGGCGAATGTGATTCACGTCGAAGAGATAAGTAGGCAGGAATCAATCGAACTCTTTAAAAAAAGTGTGCAGGTGCAAAAGCACCATTTACTCGACGACGAGGCCAGTATTAACACGCTGCTTGACCTCCTTGTTGACCTGCCGCTTGCAATCAAGCAAGCCGCGGCGTATATCAACCAAAATACCACGCCGATTGCCGCATATCTGTCATTCTATAACGATAGCGAGGAAGGAATGATCGAGATCCTCAGCGAAGGGTTCGAAGACCGTGGAAGGTATCGTGGACAGAATGGACAGAAAAACCCAGTGGCTACGACCTGGTTTATCTCGTTTGAACAAATTCGACGTGATAGTAGTCTTGCGGCTAATTATCTCTCATTTATGGGCGTCGTAGCCCGAGACGACATACCTCGCTTACTACTCATACCCGGACCGAGTCCTAACCAACACACTAAAGCCATTGGGACATTGATTGCATATTCATTTGTGACACCGCGATTGACAGAGGATGCGTTTGATGTACATCGACTAGTCCATTTGGCGACGCGTAACTGGCTGGCAGAGAAGAATGAGCAATCAATATGGGCAGATACAGCACTGCATCGATTAGTAGAGGTTATCCCGGCAGGTGGCCATACTGACCGACAGGTGTGGACAAGATATTTACCGCATGGGATCTATCTAGTAGACACTGTCGAAGTCTGTGTGGATAACGAGATGGCAGTGATCGAGTTGCGAGATCGGATAGGACGATGTCAAAATGCTATTGGGCAATACAATGGGGCAGAGATAATGCACCGGGCGACACTAGTGCTGAGGGAGGAGGTGTTAGGGAAAGAGCACCCCTGACACGCTGACGAGCATGAACAACCTCGCCCTCGCGCTAAGCGACCAGGGGAAGTATACAGAGGCAGAGAAGATACACCGGGCGACACTGGTGCTGAGGGAGGAGGTTGGTCGGGGAAAGAGCACCCTGACACGTTGACAAG